GATCTACCCGATTCTGATTGATCAAGAACGTTGATGTAACTTTAAAACGTTTGTAAGCTTGCCGGAAAAAGACGTCAATTTATCATCGCGTAATAGATCCCATTATTGTAACTTCACGTTTGCTTGAGTCTATGCGCAACATGTGTCCTATCCTATTCGTAGTCAGCTACGATGAAATTAATTAACAATTTTAATTTGAAAACCAAAAGCTTATTATTCAAAATTTTATTCCGTAGATATATTTATTTAGCCGCGATTATATTTAAATTTATTTAAAATATATTGGCACGCGCGTATCTTTCTTACACGTTACTTAATTAAATTCTTAAAAGAGAAAATTGTAGAAACACGATTTTAAAATACGAACTTGTGGAAAAAATGTTTTGCAACTTTATAAATTCTTCGTATTACTATGCAATCGATTAGTCTAAGTTTAGATAATATATTTCTTAATAACTGAAATGAAATGCATAATAAAACTTTGACCGCATAAAAGCGCAAGTGGAAAGATTTATGCAAGATTTCTACTGAGTATCTTTTAATTATCGATTAATTCAAATTTATTGATTTGCATGTTACTTTATTGTAAGATTTCACGTAAACTGCTTTTAAACAAATGAGAAAAAAACTCGGCATAAACCGTATGCATACCAATTAATTAAAATGTGACAACAGAAACTTGTATGAAAGTAAAAAAATTCCGCGTCTCGTGTTAATTCACGCATGTCCGATCGATGTGTACTTTGATATTAATTAATATCATGGCCGATCTCTCTACGCAAAACAGCAACAAAATACGAGTATTCAAATAGATCTAATCGCGCGCATGTAACTAGTAGAACTTGTACGAATTATAGTTTATATCAGCGTATCCGTTCAGTTATTTTTATCAACTTAAACATAATTTTTTGGCTTGGACATTTTTATTAGGTATTTTAAAATAAGAACGAGAGAAAGAAAGAAAAAAAATTGTTAATAGTTTTGCTTAAATATATAATACGTAAATTTGCGAAACTTAACTGTATTATTTTAATATTCGATAAAATTTTAATCATTCGACAATCATAATAATTGATCTAATTTAATTTTAAATAATCCAATGCAATAATATTATTTTACACTTAGCCAGTTCGTTTTTCATTTTCATATCATTAAGAGTATTTTATGTCTCCAGCGATATAATTAATCATACGCGCAAAAAGTAGAAGCACGTGCTCGTAAATGTGTACATCTTATGTGACACGCAAGGTACTATCGCGATCGGAGTGGTAGACTTGTAGAAAAAGCGATTTACATGTCCAAAGAAAGCATTAATAATATTCCTGTCTACTGGGTGCGAGAAGTAAACGACGTTCACGCGAAAATGGCTCATTAGATTCGCGCGATAATTAACACGGCTGGATGAACATGAGGAGTTTAACGGTGGGACCGCCAGTGTAGCTTTGGATAAGATGCCGTGGAGTGAAAGTATTCGTAATTTCTTTCGTAAATATATCTGGCCACCCAAGAGGGAAGAGAGATAGAGCGTTGCATAAAGATCGCACAGTAGAATTACAATTGTACGAATATTTAATTATCCGCAAATATACGAACATCGTGTAAATTAATATTTAGTTACTGTAAATGTTTTAAATTTATATATACGCAGCATCATGAAAAGGATTTTTAATGCGGATGTATCCTTTTTATAAGGATAACATACAGATATTTTTTCAAATTTTAAAATAATGTCGTGTGAATAATATCTCTTAAATTGTGATCACATGACTAATAATAGAGCAGTAAATTGTTAAATAAATGTAAGTAATTAATTTCACTCACAAATCGTTGTACTGCAGTAATGGTTGCTTTTGGATCGCCACTGCACTGCTGGAACACTTCTGTTGGATCGCCACTGCATTATTGCTGTGATACTTCTGTTAGATCGCCACTGCATTGCTGTAATATTTTTGTTGTATCATCACTGCATTGCCGTTGCCATACAATCCGTTATTACATTACCTAAACATTAAATTACAATATTATAATTAATATTAGATATTTGAATAGAAAGAAATGGAAGTTTTTCTAAATATTATCCGTGTTAAGTATTGAGTGCAGATTTACATATTACTTATATTAAAAATAAGGAATAACTTTTTTACAACAAACATTAATAAATTTAGAACATATATTTGGAATTTATTTTAGATTTTGAAGTTAATCCTCCAAATATTTTTATTAATGTTAATTGAAACAAAAGAGTTTTTTATCTTTTAAAAGTAATACAATTGTCTAATCAAAAATTTTGAATAGCGTACTTTATGATTTTTAAATCCACTTTAGACAACATACAATTCGCGTTAGATTTCAAGATAGAATTCTTATAACTTCATCATGTATTTTGTGTACTTTAATGAGTACCTATTTTATCCGTATATATATAAAATATCTCATTTTATTCTCTATTCTCATTTGAAATATCTCATTTACTCATTCTACTCCCATTTTCATATTGCATATGATATATGAAACTATATATGTATATGATTCTAACCTAATTAAATAATGACGCGATTTGCAAATCGTCTAAAGCGAGTGTTAAATATAAATCATCAATATTATTTCGGTGTACAGGAAATTATGACAATAATATTATAATAAATATATTAATACAATAAAATTATGACATAAGAATTATCTGTGCATTTCTCGCGTGGAATATAAAACTCTAATCGTACTCATAGAATATCGTTCCCGTCCGTCGCGGGAACTAGTCGACGATGTCGGACGCGTCTCAACGATCCCGTGTCAAATGGATCAGCGACTATGTCCGCGCTATCTCGCGTAATAAACAAAGCGCTCCTGTTCCGAGATTTAACTCACCTTGTCCCGCGCGGCAACCTTGTGTGCTTTTCCAAAATAGTTTTCCGCCGAGTGTCGTTCCGCCCGTATCGCGCGAGCTGGTCGCGGTGACCTCGGGACGCTCACGCGTCGCGTCGCGGCGTTCCCGTGTTCGGCGGCTGTTTACGCTGCCCCCCCCCCTCCCCGCGCGCTATCTAGCTCGTCGCGCTCGCTCGCCTAATTCCTTTTGTCTTGCCCGGCTTGCCCCGCGCGGCGCGACCTTGTGCCTTTCCGAAATAGTTTTTCCGTCGGATAGGCGTACGGATTTTCCTGTCGTAAGAGCAGCTGTCCAAAATCTTCCGTACCTCCTCCGATCGTTCGTGTCGTATATACGCAATTATAATGCCAAGACGGAATTCGTCGTCAAGTGCACGCGACAGCTGGTCGGTAGTCTGCAGATGAATATTGCAGTGAATTTGTTAATAATTGACAACGATTATTTTGTGTAGTTGTATGACACTTGTCTTACGTTCAATGTATATTACATATTCGGTATACGATCGATGATCTGGTTCAACATGTGAACGCCGCGCCGGCCGCGTCAATTATTGATGACACACGACAGCCATATATATATATATTTGACTCGCATAGTAGGAAATTCGAACAGGAACGGAATCGGGACTGGAATCGGACCGCGTGGGTCGCAGTAGCCGGCATAGCCCAGCGGACCGAGCGGATTTGGAATACTTGGCGCTTTCGCGTCGCGTCCGCGGCGTCTTGACGTATGTCTACGGCGTGATTGTTTACACGGCGTCGGGACGCGCGAGAGGATCGGACCGAGGCGCGGATTTCGTTGTGATCGAGCATCGTGAGCGTCGGAGGAGGGAAATTAGTCGATTTCTGCGATTGATGCTACGGGAATGGCATGCGCTCCGTTCATAATCACATCGCACGTTACGAAGTTTTGGTTATGTTATGAAGAGGTTGATTCGCATTACTTGTCTCGTCAGGCGAGTTAAGATCTTAAGAATTGAGAATAATTATCGTACGAGATAAGCGTGTATCAGGAATATCGAGAAAAGAATATCTGGCGGCCGGCGTATAGATACACTTTGTCACTTGGTGCGACAGTTCCAGCTTCGAGCTATAACCTTTGAATTCCGCGCAGTCGTAGCATTGCTTGCATATATGTTGCTTGCATGATCAAATTCCGATAGATAATTGATCGCAAGTCAATTGAAATATGTATATGTAGAGCGTACGTGAGATAATTGACAGGATTTATACACGTAGCGTGTAATCAGTAAGATTTAATATTTATTTATTTGCTATAATAATTGACGATTATTTTCTGCATTAGCCGCACAATAATTTGTGTTTACCACTGTAGAATTAATTGTCGTAGACAACGCGATATACTTATAGTTAATGTTATTGTGAGCGTTTAGGTTTTGTTATTTGTATCGAGCAATAATAACTGGCGATGCTCGCGATATAAATAGTCTAATAGTTGCATTAATCGTTTGCTAATTGTTCTGTTAAATTAAGAGCGCGAAAGTAATTGTCGTAAATACTGATTATTGTGTTATGCGTGCATGAGTTCGTCGGAAAATAGGATACCAATTGACAGTAATCGCAATTATTTTTCTCAATTGTTAGTCGCGATCATTACATTAATTGTAGTTATTCTGCAGATCAAAAAGTATGAATGAAGTAGTTAACTTTCTGATTGTCACATTTGTAAGATTATGCGCATGAATTTACTGAAAATACATTGTAATGATTGGTAATAATCACGATGATTTTCTATGATCACTATAGTTGTTCCGTAAACGGAAAATTATTGTAGTCAATGCTACGATTGCTACAGTTAAAAATTACTCGTCTCATTATAGAATCTCAGCTGGAATTATATAGCTTTAAATTAGATAAAAATATTGAATGAAAATAGGCTTGTAAAATCATAAAGTCGGAAAAAATAATAGACCGTGATATTATGCATAAATATTATTTACACGGAGAGAATTTTATTTTAAAATTTATCCTGAAAATCATATTAATTATAGGACAACATAGTATGTATTTCGACGAATTTGATGTGATTTGCACTATTTTTTTCAATATATACTACAATAAATTTACTGTAGTGCACAGTAAAATTTGTCGAAATACTATGTTGTCCCACGATTAACATGATTTTCATGGGATAAATTTTAAGAGGAAGTTTTCTCTGTGTACGATATATTGCATTACAGCAGTACAATAATTTTGTTGGGAAATTTTATTCAACTATAATATTATTCGTACCATAATACTGCTCTTTGCTGTTTATTCTAAAGACTATCTCAAATTACGTAATATTACTGAATAGAAATTTTACACGAATAATAATATCGCGAATAAATAAATCGCGAGAATCAAATAGAGAACACAGGATATAAATCGTATCGAGAGTGCCGAATTAAGTATCGGGCGTTAACAATCGTGATCAGTGCAATTTACAACATAAAATTTTTGTGAGTGAGTAATTTGTGAAGTTCGAGTAAATTTGTCATCAACGAAGGAGCTGGCAGAATTGCAGCGGCGACAATGGGTGAATAAATTTTTATTAGATTTGCTTAATGTGTAATGTATTTAATTATTAATTTCGTTATTCCGAATCATTCGCGTATTTTGAGTTATTCTTATTATTCTTATTGCACTCTTATAATTTGATAGATAGAATATTAAAAATAAAATGGTTGTTATTGTGATAGAATTTTGAATAATAATATAAAATCACAAAGACATATGAGAATTAATATCTGAAATGTTAAGACATATAAGATGTATAAAACATGTACGTATCCTATATGAACTTGACTGTATCTGTCAAAGGATGAGAGGCGAGAAAAATAATTACTAATTAATGATCATTAATTTATTAATAGATGCAGCTAAAATGATGGCAGAGACACTTTCTCATCGGAGTGGTGAGTGATATTACAATACATTCTTTACCAATTCAATACATTGATACGAATGGTTGCAATGATTTGCTACATCAGAAATTGTACATCAGAATGAAATTCCCAATTTTTAAACAAATTAATTTATTTAATATAAGGATTAAAAAAAAAGCTGCATAAATATCAATATTTTTTTCTGAATATTTACAGGTATTTTATTCAATTTTTTGAAATATATTATTATAAAATTATGTATTTTATTTATATATTTTTATCTTTTACTTTTTTAACTTAATTATGTAATGTTATTAATATTGATATTCACTTTTTCTTTTCTTACTTATATTTTTAAAATTATATAATTATAGTAGATTTGATTTAGTTTTATAAATTTACGATAAAAAATTTTACATATAAATGAAACAAACGATATATATGTTTTTGAATTGATTTAAGAATTTTTTAAATTGATATTTTTAAAAGATATTACAAATCACAGTTATATCATGCAATTAAAAACGCTAGTTACAGTTTTAATTGGTATCTTCTTAAGTGCATTAATTAATTGCGATTATGTTGTAGACAGAACTTATTTCACAATTGGTGAAACGCTCTGATGTAGCAATAACCATCTTTTACTTAATGTTCAGTGACGTGAATGATTCGATTGAACAAAGTAGGAAAAGAGAAGCAATCCGCTTAATTAAACTATTCGTCGAATGTTAACGATGTTTAGGTTGATGTTGAAATAGAAAGAAAGACTTTCGAATTGTAGTAGAAAGATCACGCTAAATGACCAATGTATTCAATACAAATTGTCTGTGTTATTTTCACATAATAATTATTTTACTATCGATGTCATAATTACAAACAACGGTCTGAAATGGCGCAAAATCATAAAACGGATCAATTTTACCGCGTCAGTCTCGCAGCGGCATCACTGAACCGTAGATGTACCTAATTTTGCCTCTCTCTAATAGTCCATATAAAATTAATTCTTCATGGATTCTAACGTGATTTGGTTGTTGTGTAAATATTACGGATATCGCGTATTTCCGCAGCTATATCGATGTGTAGAAACTTTTATTTAGAATTCTACTGACGTATCGAAAGAGCAGGAAACTTACGTATTTATATTTAATTAAATTGGAAGTTAGAAATAACGGGAAACGCGAAAGTCGATAAATTCCAGTTTAACGAATTAAGTTTTAACGAATTGGCCGCGCGCCGGAAATAAATATGCGTCAAACATCACGTCACGTCTGATGAATAATCCTTTCTCTCGCAGCCTTTAATTTAGTGTCGAATTCTGGGTGAGTCGGAAATAGTCCTGAGCATTTCGACTCACGTGTATCACGTCACGCTATCATTAACTTGTCCTTTCTTTCGCCCAGTTTTTTTTTTTAACAGAATATAGACTTGAGAAAGGGATTAAAGTATGACGACGTAAAATAATTTTATTATTTTTAATAAACGACAGCTTTTGAGATCTGCACGCGATTTATCAATATTATAAAAAGTTTATTTATAGCTAAAATACAAGCAGTTGCCTAACAAATTTTTATATTTGTGATGCACACATTTTGAAGAATGTTTTTATCACTTTACATTCATATTTTTTATAAATATGTACATTCATATCTTTAATTAAATGTATAAATATAATATGTGATGAAAATATTCTCTTGTATGTATGTATTGGAAAATATAAAAATTTATTTCTAATACAAGTTTCAGTACTGTGAATGAAAAAAAAAGAGTATATAGTAATTACGTGTGTGATGAAGCGATGTTGTCTTCAAAATTATTGCTTCCTTATAGAACATATCTTTTTAGTAAGCTCTTATTACGCCCCAATTGAATGTACATGATCTCACTTTACTTGTACAATGTTAAAATTATCCGCCACAACTTGGTTCTTGCTCGCCAGTGGATCCGATTTCAAGTGGCGAGCGGGACCAGTCGGTCGAGTTTAGTCGTGAATCACATTTGAGAGTGGTCATTCGACCGGTTAGACGCAGCGATCCGTCTGTAGCATGCTCCGTTGGTCCGGTGGTATGGTGAAAGGAGTTTGCGCGGCTTTTAACGCCCGCGCGTTCCAACGAATTTGCCCGCGATCTAGTGTACGGTTGATAGGCATTCGGTAGCATAACACATCAGGATTGTGTTTTCGCGTACGTGCAAATGCACCACTAGCAATGTATATTAAACTTTCAATTAACTCTTTCGATTAAATCGGCGCGCGTTAGGCGTCGCGATGCTTTCAGAACCTGAAGTTAAAGAGACAAATAGGATTCCATCCGGTGCGTTTAGATCTTTGCGTATATTATTAACGAGCAGTGTAACAAAATAAAATTCAGAATTTTATTTTTATTGTAATAAATTGTGTCTCACCGTCGGAAAGTAATACGATATACAGCGGATACATTTTTTTGTGATAAGAACGATTTGCGCCAGTGAAACCCATGGTCAATTGCATCAAATATTCATTAATTTATAATAAATGCATATGACTATAATGAATTGTCGATTCGGTCGCATATTCCGACCTAAACAGCGGATATATTTTATTGTAAAAGCGACGCGCAATAAATTACATTAAATATACTAATTTACAATAACAAATGTTGCTGCTCTTGGTACAAGTCCAGCCTTCGTCGGCATAATAACTAGGACTCTGTACGGCCCTGAGTAACACCTTATATCGGTTACCATCAGTGAATGCCGTCTTCGAAGGACACGCTCGGTTACAGCCGGTGCCTTGTGGATGTTGTTACATACGATACTGCGAATATCCGTTACCGCGCGGAGTAAACGTCACGTCACGTCGCGCAAGTCATCGGCTGGAAAGCGCCCCGGGTACAGATCACCCAGAGTGATTCCTCAGGCAGGCGCTTGTGCGAGCCGAGGTCCGGACTTTCACGGATAGCGTGCGATCGGTGCACGTGCTGGGCGCATATAGTTTTCCTTTCTAATACGTCGGTTAACATTAGAGTTTACGATCCCGGAATTTAGTTTTCCGCACGGGACTTCGGCCGATCGTATCACGAGGAGGATATGAATTCCGTTTTCTTTCCTTCTTCTCTCATTTAATGAGACGACTTCCATCATAGATTCTTATTTAATAAATAGATAAAAGCAACTTTTTCGTTACATTGCAAAGAAATATTTTTACTCTAAAAACTTCATCGTATCACCATGAAGATTGATAATTCCATCTGTATTAATAAATATAATTAGCGAATTCTTTTCTATGTAAATTTACTTTCTTATTGTGAACACGTTATGAATTCGTGCAATCTCCTTGTCCGGGTTTACTTCAGCCTTATTTCTCAAATCTAAGAAAGCGTTTAATTACAACATCAAGACATATAATTAAATGAAATGAGATAAACAGAAATTGAACAAGATAATATAAATTTTTACAAGTCATTCACGGCACAATGAAACAGTGCGATGAAAATTTATCTGAAGCCACTAATTTTGTTATAATTTAGACAAAATTAATAAAATAACTTATATTAATTATTTTTAAGTTATTAAAACCATACGGAGAGAATTTTTTTTTAATTTACCCTGCAAATCATGTAAATTGTGGGACAATATAGTATTTAGGCAAATTTTATTGTGCACTACAATAAATTTTACAGTAGTAAAATACAGTA